CAGCGACAGCCCCAAAACATCACTGGTCTAGAGGAGATCTGCATGGAGGAATGGGCCAATATACCAGCAACAGTGTGTGCCAACCTTGTGAAGACTTACAGGAAACATTTGACCTCTGTCATTGCCAACAAAGGATATATAACAAAGTATTGAGATGAACTTTTGATATTGACCAAATACTTATTTTCCACCATAATTTGCAAATAAATTCTTTCCAAATCAGCCAATGTGATTGTCTGGATTTTTTTTCTCATTTTGTCTCTCATAGTTGAGGTCTACCTATGATGCCAATTACAGGCCTCTCTCATCTTTTTAAGTGGGAGAACCTGCACAATTGGTGGCTGACTAAATACTTTTTTTCCCCACTGTATTTCACTTGGATGTTCTAAGTTGCACTAAATACAGCTGATAAATTAAAACAACTGTGTCTGTCTTCGTTTCAGGCTGCAAAGCAACAAAATGTGATTTTTTTTAAAAAGGGGGGTGATTCTTTTCTATACCCACTGTATATTGGATACATTGAAAGTCCTAATTTTGTTTTTAATAACTAGTCCTACATTTTTTGGAATAATAGTATGGTAAAAGTGGTTTTAAAAGCCAAAATGTTTTTTAACCACTTCAATACCAGGCACTTTTACCCCCTTCCTGCCAAGGCCAAATTTCAGCTTTCAGTGTTGTCGCAGTTTGAATAACAATTGTGCGGTCGTGCAACATTGTACCCATGAACTTTTTTTATTTTTTTCACACAAATAGAGCTTACTTTTGGTGGTATTTAATCACCACTGAGTTTTTATTTTTTGTGAAATAAACAATACCCTGAAAATTTTTTTTTTTTAAAGCGTGTTTTTCTAAATTGCGGTTATAAAATTTTGCAAATAAAAAACATTTCCTTATAAATTTAGGTCAAAATGTATTCTGCTACATTTCTTTGGTGAAAATTTTCCAAATTAGTGTATATTATTCAGTCTGTAGGAAAGTTAGAGTCCACAAACCATGGTATATATTATATATCCGACAATCGATCAATCAATGTCCTGGCGGCCCATCTCATTTCTTGAGGCCCCCAAAAACGCCAGGATAGTACAAATACCCCCCAAATTACCCATTTTTGGAAAATAGACAGTTTAAGGTATTTATTAGGAGGTATGGTGAGTTTTTTGGAGGTTGTAATTTTTGTTACAATTTTTTGGAAAATGTAAAATTAAAAAAAAAAAAACAAAACCACAAAAAAAAAAAAAAAAAAAAACCCACAAAACATATTGTCAACAGTCCAGTACAGCATTATTATATAACTGGTGTGGTGGTGATCAGGGACACTGACTGGTGACAGTATGTAAAAAAAAAAAAAAAAAAAAAAAAAATTTTTTCTATTTTTTTTTATTACATTATTTTTTTTCTTTTTATTTACTTTTTTTTCCAACACACTGTGACCAAAGCAATACAATGTTACCATAGTAACATTGAACTACGCTGGGCAACTGATCAGGATTTTTTTTTTTACACATTATGATTGCTAATACCAATGTATTTCATGGATATTTGTAATCATTGCTACTGAATGAAACTGATTCATTCAGTCTTTTGTTGTGAATAGCTGTAACTGGACAAAGCTCATCACATGATGTAGATGGGCTGTGATTGGCCCTGTCTGTACCATGTGACTGCTTTGACCAATCACTGCTAACAACACAATTATATACAATGGATGGCATGACAGGAAGCCATCCATTGTATAAAATTGTCATGTGATCTGCTGTGATTGGTCACAGGACACTGGATACATCCAGTGGCAGATAGCACCACTGCAAGGTCCTGTGAGCAGTTCCATCGGACAGGACATCATATGACACCCAGTCAGAAGGAGGCGTGTCCCACCCGGCCGTCAATCTGCTACAGGCCGGGCAGGAAGGTGTTAAGTAAAAATATAGCCCCCTCACCCACCTAATACTTACCCGAGTCCTCACTTGATCCAACGCTGTGTGCCTGCCTGTAGTGACTCTCTCCTCTCACTTCCCAGTCTCACAAGCTTTGCTGAGGCAGCAGGAGCCATTTGTTCCTGCTTCTGTCAGTCAAATCCTGTGATATAGGAGCAGGGGTGGGGCCGAGCCATGCTGTCTGTGTTTATGGACACAGGCACAGTGGCTTGGGATCGAGCCTGCACGTATGCCATTATAGGGAGCGGCTTCCTATGGTGGCACACCAAGAAGAACAGCCAGAAACATCATCGGGGAACCCGAGAATAGGAGGATCGGGGCCGCTCTGTGCAATTCCATTGCACAGAGAAAGTAAATATAAACCTGTTTGTTATTTATTTTTTAACTTTTTGTTTGCAATCACTACAAACAATAACTGATCTCTCAGAATCCATACATTTTTTTGATCTAAAGTCTGTAATAACAACTAGCACCAGTGATACCATGACCTAGGTAAATGAAAACCCTCAGAGACAATACTCTTATCTCACTCCTGCTGGGAAGATAACACCACTCCCGATAAATAATTCAAGTCGTTCAGTAAACAGAGGATTCCAAAGCATTTGGTGTTCAGGTTTCATGGACATTTCCCAGAACACTGTGTAAACTAACCAGAAAAAGAAAATAAAAGTTCAACTTAAAGCACATGTATGCGCACACATTAGTTTGAAGCTTATTGGGTTGGCTAAAAAGAGTTCTAAAAAGGTGATTCTCCATGTTTACTGAGTGACACAGAAGGGAGCCAACCCTTCTTTAGGCAACATTTCAGCCCTACAATTACTCATTTATTCATCCTAACAAGACTATAAGAAAAGCTAATCGGATGAAATATAGTACACAGTCTCAATGTTTCATGAGATTGATTTTATTTTTTACCCTAGTTGTTCACACCTTGAAAGGGAGATGTAGGAGACCATGATGTGAGAGGCCTGCACACTGCTAAGAACATAAAGTCTACTGAATAGGTGTCAGGATTTACATAAAATGTATCATCTCTAGGCTGGCATCTTATTCCAGCAAGATGCTGACAATGAATGGTGCTTAATAAAGATGTCTTGTTAGGAGAATGAAAAAAGAAGGCATGGTCAGAAGCAATATCAAGATCTCTGTAAGAGTGAATACCAGTAACTGTTACACTACACGTTGCTTACCATGAACTTAATATTCTCATGCTAGGCCTGCTCTATACTGTAATGAATTGTATATAATTTTATTAATATTAACAGCTGGCTACAATATTTTTGTGAGGGAGGAAGAAGGTGTGACAGATGTACTGATGTGTCCTGCTTCCACTGCTTGCCTTTATCAGCCTAACTACAATGCCATCTTGTTGGAAATATTTAATGGAACTTATATTGAGCTATAGCACTTTTTTTCCCCTTTTTCCATGCTGCATATGCAAAAAAAATTACAAAAAACTTTTTACTAAAGATTAAATAAGTATATTACATACCAGAAACATAATTGTGTATCATATCTTTGAATAGCTCTGAAGAATATACATCTGTGAAAAGTGGAATAAAGTGCAACAGCGCTAGGTGTCTAATAGTTAATCAAATAAATAGATGAATATGTGAATTAATAGATTAATTAATTGAGCTGCTAGCATAGAAAGTGAACCTCAAAAAAACTTTGGATAGTATGTAATAAAAATATGCAGCGCTCATATATTGGAAATTAACCTGATCACATATATTAAATATAAATTAAGCAAGATTCATGATAAGAATAAAACGTTAAAATATAAACATATTAAACTCGTGACTTCTGTGGTGCATCCGAGGTTGAGAAACCAGAGGGAAGTTTGTGACTCTTGTGGTGAAAAAACTGAGAATAGCTTGCACTAACCAGATGTCTCAGCACATGAAGCAAGGAGTAATTAAGACCTACTCCTGGTACTCTGAAAGGAAGCCACTGAAGGGGATGATGTCATCTTATCTCTCGCCACTAGATGTCATGTTCCCAGGACAGCAGGACGGGGATCCCAGAGATATACATCAGCCAATGGAGGGATTAATCCAGCAAGTCAGTCAGCAACCCACAGGAGACCAAGAGGAACCGAGCACCTTCAAAAGGCCCGGGCTCCCTCCAAAATAAGAGAGCCACAGGCCAGAAGCTTTGATAGTGTAGTATTGTATTTATTTAAGCAGTAATTTCAAAATGGTAAATGGTCTTAATTACTCCATGCTTCATGTGCTGGGACATCTGGTTAGTGCAAGCTATTCTCAGTTTTTCACCACAAGTCACGAACTTCCCTCTGGTTTCACAACCTCGGATGCACCACAGAAGTCACGAATTTAATATGTTTATACTTTAACGTTTTATTCTTATCATGAATCTTGCTTAATTTATATTTAATATATGTGATCAGGTTAATTTCCAATATATGAGCGCTGCATATTTTTATTACATACATCTCTGAAAGCTTATTTTATGTTACTTAGTTCTGCTTGCACAACCTCCCCTGTTCTCAGGTTTCCATGCCTGCATGGCCCTACTATTCCTTGGCTTCCCCTCCTCCCAAGCTCCCCAACCTGGAGGAGATTCCTTCTCCCCAAGCTATCCATCTGCATATGCCCTCTCCCTAGGGTCTTCTTCCTGCATGGCTTCCCCTCTTCCCAGATCCTCAATGTGGCAAGACAAAGGGGCGCTGAGAGAGGGAGAGAAGGAGGAGAGAAAAAAAAAAAAACAAAAAAAAAAACTAGGACAGCCTGTAAGGAATAATGATCAGGAAAATTATGTAAAAGTACAACTGACATAGCTTCTCAGTACTTTAGATGCATGTAGCGGTTTGTGTTCCATAGCAGCAAAAGACTGCCGCTAAGCAACATACTATTGATTATTTCTACTTCAAAAACCAAGCATGCTGAAATAAAAGGAACGATCATGAATAAACTTTAAGAAAATGCATGCTCTCAGACATTATTGTCCCTGAGTCATTAAAGTCTTTCACTGTAATATAAGGTTTAAAAAACATCACTCTAGCTTATCTTTCCTGATCTGGTACTGGTATGTGCATTTACTAACCTTAATCTTGCAGTCCATGGAACAAGACAGCAGTAAGTGTCCAGAGAGAGGAAATAACCTCACAGCACTGACTCCCTTGAAGGAAAGTAGAGAGGAGATTTAACAAAACAAAATGCATTTAAATGAAGACTTCTGAGTAGGTAATACAAAAGTAAAAATTAAGCACTAGTTATAATGCTGTTGAATTAAATTATAATAGGTTAAAAGGGAAAATTCCTGACCAGGTAAATGCATGTAGTGCAGATGGGGCGCTTTGAAAAAGTAACACAACTTCGTTGTAAATCCTATTATTACTACATTGAGAAGTTATGTTATTAATTACAATACACTTTACACTGACTTTGCTGTACACCAATCTAAAGTCTTTTAAACCAAAGGTTTATTGAAGCCTCCTTTTGCCAGGGACAAGCTACATACAGAGGCCTTAATTTGTGTGTGACACAGATCTAATCCATGCTTATGCAATTAAGGCTACACTCTCACAGGTGGCCAGGAGCACATACAGTCATGGCCGAAATTGTTGGCACCCTTGATATTTTTCCTGAAAATCAAGTATTTCACACAAAAAAGGTATTGCATTAACACATGTTTTGCTATACACATGTTTTATTCCCTTTGTATGTATTGGAACAAATATAAAAAAGGCCAGAAAAGCAAATATGACATAATGTCACACAAAACCCCAAAAATGGGCTGGACAAAAGTATTGGCACCCCAACTTAATATTTGGTTGCACACCCTTTGGAAAACATAACTGAAAATCAGTCGCTTCCTATAACCATCAATAAGCTTTGACACCTCTCACCCGGAATTTTGGACCACTCTTCCTTTGCAAACAGCTCCAGGTCTCTCTTATTGGAAATTGGACAGTCCTTTTCCCAACAGCAATTTTAAGATCTCTCCACAGGTGTTCAATGGGATTGGAGATCTGGGCTCATTGCTGGCCACTTCAGAACTCTCCAGCGCTTCTTTGCCATCCATTTCTGAGAAGCTTTTTTCACGTATGTTTGGGGTCATTGTCCTGCTGGAAGACCCAGGATCTTGGACGCAAACCCAGCTTTCTGACACTGGGCCCTACAGTGCGACCCAAAATCCTTTGGTAATCCTCAGATTTCATGATGCCTTGCACACCAGTTTCAGTCAAGGCACCCAGTGCCAGAGGCAGCAAAACAACCCCAAAACATCATTGAACCTCCACCATATTTTACCGTAGGTACTGTGTTTTGTTCTTTGTAGGCCTCATTCCGTTTTCGGTAAACAGTAATGATGTGCTTTACCGAAAAGCTCTATCTTGGTCTCATCTGTCCAAAGACGTTTTCCCAGAAGGCTTTTGGCTTACTCAAGTACATTTTGGCAAAACTGTTCTTGCTTTTTTATGTCTCTGTGTCAGCAGTGGGGTCCTCCTGGGAAAAAAAAAATAAAGTTTCATTTCATTTACAATGTCGACGGATAGTTCGCGCTGACACTGATGCTCCCTGAGCCTGCAGGACAGCTTGAATGTCTTTGGAACATGTTTGGGGCTGCTTATCCACCATCCGGACTATTCTGCGTTGCAATCTTTCATCAATTTTCCTCATCCGTCCACGACCAGGGAGATTAGCTACAGTGCCATGGGTTGCAAACTTCTTGATAATGTTGCGCACTGTGGACAAAGGCAAATCTAGTTCTCTGGAGATGGACTTGTAACCTTGAGATTGTTGATATTTTTGCCACAATTTTGGTTCTCAGGTCCTCAGACAGTTCTCGTCTCCTCTTTCTGTTGTCCATGCTTAGTGTGGCACAGACAGACACACAATGCAAAGGTTAAGTGAACGTCTCTCCTTTTTATCTGCTTTCAGGTGTGATTTCTATATTGCCCACACCTGTTACTTTAGCCCCAGGTGAGTTTACAGGAGCATCACATGCTTGTAACATTCTTATTTATCCGCAGTTGTGAAAGAATATTGCCTTTGTGATACTTTTGTCCAGCCCATTTTTGGAGGTTTGTGTGACTACTTATGTCGATTTTTCTTTCTTTCCTCCCTTTTTTTGTTTTGTCCCAATACACACAAAGGGAATAAACATGTGTATAGCAAAACATGTGTTAATGCAATACGTTTCGTGAGAAATACATGATTTCCTGGAGAAATATCAAGGGTGCCAACAATTTCGGCCATGACTGTAGTTTGCAGTGTTCAGAAGTGAATAAACATTGCCTCTGGATGCAGCAACACTCTGTCCTAAGGCCACATTCAAACTGGCTGATTAGTTGCAGCCAATTTCTGTGCAGCTAAAGTTGGCCCTGGACACACACTTTAAGCGTTCAGGGTTGGTTGGAGGCCACTAATGATTTGCACAGCATAGAAATTCACACTGCTAACAGTGTGTGCAGGCATTTGGATCCACCAGCATAAATCAGTAGCCCCTGTGTGGTCAATGTAGCTTTAAAGAAGAATTCCAGGTTAGGGTATTTAATATGTTTACATTGGTTCAGCTTCAACCAATGTAACTATGCATATTCCATACCTGTGGGATCCCCTTGGAAATTGGGAGTCACTGTAGTAGGCAATGCTACTAGAGTGATCACCACTAGTATTCTCTGATTGGAGAAGGTGGAGAGCACGTTACTGCCCCACCTCTCTAGCGCGCGTCCAATCAGAGAAGGCTTTGCTTTCACTGAGAATATACAAAGCGATCACCGCATGCCACCTGTGCCCAGCAGACAATCCTGTTTTCACAATGCAGCAGGGCATCCACTTGGAATGGGACATGGAACCAAGTGGATATCACTGTAGTAGCAGTGTCTGCTACAGTGATTACCAGTTTCTAGTGGGATCACACTAGTATAGTATATGCAAAGCTACATTGGTCCAAACTGGACCAATGTAGCCATTTAAAAATATCCATACCTGGAATTTTTCTTTATTCTAATACAAGAGAATGTAATGATTGCTGAAATTTTCACATAGAACTAAAGATGTAAAATTGTGAGAAATTCTGAAACCATGAAGAAAAAACTTTTTCACTTGTATTTTTATGGAAAAAAATGGTAATCTTGGAGAGAAAAAAAAAAAAAGTATGGAGTAGTTTTACAAATTGAAAGTCTTTTTGTTGCACTGGGATTGTGAAATGCAGTATATATAAAAGTATTATGCTTGAAATAAAACTACAGCCTTTTCCGTAAATAAACTAAACTTGGTTCTTATGTGGTTTTCTTCATTGCCAAAAAAAGACTACCACTAACTGAAGAACAGAGGTTCTTTTTAAAACTGTATTCTTTGTTACAAAAGAAATAACAAGGACTGTACATGTTAAGAACATTTCAATTACACATGAGAACAGGTAACCACCCCCTTTCCCTCATAATATTTTAAAAGCTTCTTGTCAATATGCATTTTCATTTATGGACAATGCTGATCCAGAAGCATATATTGATCTTGCAAAAGACTTGATCAATGTTATCCTGATTTTCAGGTGTCATTTTATCTATAAATGAAGGGATTGTGTATTTTTGGGAGGCAGTTGTTTGCAACACTTCCTAACTTGAAGATGTGGCTTATGAAGAAACACTTTGTGATGACTCAGAAGAAGCAGAAAAAGTGTCCCTGGAATGAGAACTCTGGAGGGAAAAGCTACTCGCACTTTCATTCTGGTCCTCATCTTTTCATTCCATAAAGTATTTCTAATGTATTTAGGGCACATCTAGCATGCAAGGATGTGTGCTGACATCCTTGTAGCATTTGGAAAAAAAATATTATTGCTTGGCATTAGGTCAGAGCAGAAGTTGAAGGTTAATTATTGTATCTACAAGAACAACAACATTTAGTACACAACATATTTTTCCAGTAATTCTTGTTGAGTGACTTATTAGCCTGTTAAGAACGATATGCACAATCAATCAGAGTTAAAGCCAAACTATATGCTTTACCTTTGTATGCCCAGACCAGACATGGATCTGCTTCTTGGGTAGGTAACATTTTTCTGGCACTTCTGTGGAGCGTAGATTTACATCCACATCTTGAGGAATGTGAAGATACGACCTGCCTTGGTAGTCATACATTTCTTTAACTAAACAAAGAAAGGAGTGGCAAGGATTGCCAGATAAGGTTATCATAAAAAGACAAGTATATATAAAAATAAAGAATAATTTCACAGTTCACTAGCAACGACAGGCTTTTTCAATGACAATGGCTGTTTGAGTTTAAGGGTATTGATTACAATATTCAGCATGCAACAGGTGGTATACAAAAGCTACAAACCATGCAATATGGTCTTCTCATCAGCAGGTTTGTCTTCTTCTTGTTTGCCTCTCTTCTGTCTTTTTGCAGTTATCTCATCCAGCTCCTTCTGTTCTTCCTATAAATCAGAAAAGCAAAACTAAATTTCAAGCAAACTGAGCAAATGCTACACAAGAGCTATATGCATCAATATTACCTCTGATGGCTTGGCAACATCTTTTTCATCAACATATTTTGCCCATGGACCAAGGAAGCCATCTATGTCAGAAGCATCACTACCTTTTACTTTTTTTCTCTTGTCAGGTTTTTTCTGACCAGATTCAAATACTGTTAATCCTAAGCAAAAGAAAAATACAATGTGTAAAAAGGTTATATTTTATATAATAAAAATTATACATTTTTTTTTATTCCTTTTTACTCCTACAGTCTGCTGGGGGAGAATTTTTGCTCGGACTGCCTAGGCCATCCAGGTGGAAATGGAAGCAAGTACCTGTCAATACCAGGTACCCGCTGTTTTTTGGTGAAGTTGTGTGTTAAATCTTCTCTTCTTGCAGCAGCTGCACCCAGCCACCAAAAAGAAGGCTGATCAGAAGAATAAAGATGGACCCTATGTTAGGATAAATGAGAAGCCAGTTTCCTATCTTCCCTTTGGCTCCCTCTATGGGTGGCTGAAAGGAACTGCTTCAGGATGTGGAGATGTAAACAGACTGGTTAAGTTATGAAGGACCAGCTCTGACACTCTTATCAGCAAAATAGGAGACCATTGGAATTTTTCTATTTTAAACACACACACACATTTATTTATATATATATATATATATATATATATATATATATACATACATACATACATACATACACACATACACATACATACACACAGTATCTCACAGAAGTGAACATATCTTTTCATGTGACAACACTGAAGAAATGACACTTTGCTGCAATGTAAAGTAGTGAGTGTACAGCTTGTATAACAGTGTAAATTTGCTGTCCCCTTAAAATAACTTAACACACAGCCATTAATGTCTAAACCGCTGGCAACAAAAGTGAGTACACCCCTAAGTGAAAATGTCCAAATTGGGCCGAAAGTGTCAATATTTTGTGTGGCCACCATTATGTTCCAGCACTGCCTCAACCCTCTTGGGCATGAAGTTCACCAGAGCTTCACAGGTTGCCACTGGAGTCCTCTTCCACTCCTCCATGACAACATCACGGAGCTGGTAGATGTTAGAGACCTTGCGCTTCTCCACCTTCCGTTTGAGGATGCCCCACAGATGCTCAATAGGGTTTAGGTCTGGAGACAAGCTTGGCCAGTTCATCACCTTTACCCTCAGTTTCTTTAGCAAGGCAGTGGTCGTCCTGGAGGTGTGTTTGGGGTCGTTATGTTGGAATACTGCCCCGTGGCCCAGTCTCCGAAGGGAGGGGATCATGCTCTGCTTCAGTATGTTACAGTACATGTTGGCATTCATGGTTCCCTCAATGAACTGTAGCTCCCCAGTCCCGGCAACACTCATGCAGCCCCAGACCATGACACTCTCACCACCATGCTTGACTGTAGGCAAGACATACTTGTCTTTGTACTCCTCACCTGGTTGCCGCCACACACGCTTGACACCATCTGAACCAAGTACGTTTATCTTGGTCTCATCAGAACACAGGATATGGTTCCAGTAATCCATGTCCTTAGTCTGCTTCTCTTCAGCAAACTGCTTGCGGGTTTTCTTGTACATCAACTTTAGAGGAGGCTTCTTTCTGGGATGGCAGCCATACAGACCAATTTGATGCAGTGTGCGGCGTATGGCCTGAGCACTGACAAGCTGACCGCCCACCCCTTCAACCACTGCAGCAATGCTGGCAGCACTCATACGTCTATTTCCCAAAGGCAACCTCTGGATATGATGCTGAGCACGTGCACTCAACTTCTTTGGTCAACCATGGCGAGGCTTGTTCTGAGTGGAACCTGTCTTGTTAAACCGCTGTATGGTCTTGGCCACCGTGCTTCAGATCAGTTTCAGGGTCTTGGCAATCTTCTTATAGCCTAGGCTATCTTTATGTAGAGCAACTATTCTTTTTTTCAGATCCTCAGAGAGTTATTTGCCATGAGGTGCCATGCTGAACTTCCAGGGACCAGTATGAGAGAGTGACAGCGATTACACCAAATTTAACAAACCTGCTCCCCATTCACACACAGTACACATACAGTACTGCTACAGTACACATACAGTAAAGCACACACCCCCGCCCCCTACTAAAAAACACTCATCATAAAGTTAACCCTTTGATTGCCTCTCACTGTTAACCCCTTCCTCCCCAGTGCCATTAGTACAGTCTCAGTGCTTTTTTTTTTTTTTTTTTTTTTTTTTTTAGCAATGATCATGGATTGGTGTCACTGAGGATGTCAGTGACCCCAATTCAGTTCCCCTCCAGTGTCAGAATGTCCACCGCAGTCCCGCTATAAGTCGCTGATCACCGCTATTAGTATAAAAAATTTTTTTTTTTTTTTTTTTTTTAAACCCAGTATCTATACCGCCATTTGTAAACGCTATAACTTTCACGTAAACCAATTAATTTTCATGTATTGGGATTTTTTCTTTTTAGCAAAGACATGTCGCAGAATACATTTTGGCCTAAATTAATGCTGAAATTTGATTTTTACATTTTTTTACTGGACATGTTTTATAGCAAAATGTCCAAAATATAGTTTTTTTTCTCAAAATTGTTGTTTTTTTTTTGTATACCGCAAAAAATAAAAAATGCACAGGCGATCAAATACCACCAAAAGGAAGCTCAATTCGTGGGGGGGAAAAAAGGACATAAATTTAATTTGGGTGCAGAGTTGTATGACTGCGCAATTGTCAGTTAAAGTAACGCAGCGCCGTAACTCAAACCGCTTCTGTAACTGCTTCCTGACCTTCCTATAGCAGAAATACTGCTACAGGGCGGAACGGGTGCGCAAAACCACACACACACACACACATATATACATACATACATACATACACACACACGTAATTCATGCTGCTCCCAGATAGCGTAAGATTGCCCGTCAGTACACCAGTAATCACATTTAACCCCTTGATTGCCAGGAACAAGCTTATACACAATAAACCTCTATTGCTAGTAAAGTGTCTGAATGGATCAATATCTTTGATCAGATCAGCACTATACCAGCGTTCACTTTAGTATAGTGTCCCCAAAAATGCAGTTTTAGTGGGATCAGCCACGGCACCTGCCAGCACCTGCATTTAGCCCCTACGCTTACACCCCCCCTTCTCCCCCAGCAAGTGCAGTTTCAGTAGGTCACTGTCAGTTGATACATTGCACACACAACCGCAGTATTTGCAGAATCAGGCTTGATCTCTGCTAGCACTTGCCAGTAGATTTTGATGACTCTCATATGCAGCAGAGTGCCAGTACTAGTGCCGCTCTACCTTTTGGTGAACTGGCGAGCACCAGCGGCCTAGTACATCCTGGTCCTTCACATGCCAACGCTGCAGTATCACTTGGTGATGTAGCGAGTCCCATAAGTGCAGTGCAAGCTGCTGCGGTGGAGAGCATGAGTATTGTCCCGAAACCACCAAGAATTTGCCCATAGAGCCCATAGTATCCTTCTGGATGTGCTTGCAAATCTTGATTGGCAGCTCACAAATTCTGCAGCACCCGTATTTCCCGTACCCCCATTCACTGCCCAATCCGGAATTCAGGTGAAAACAGCAAATTTAACTACTCCCCTTGATTTTTTTGGAGCAGTTTTTCACAGAAGATCTGTATGCATTGATTGTGGATCAAAGCAATTTATATGCACAATTTATCGCCGCCAACCCAAATTCAAACCTTGCCATACCATTCCCATGGAAACCCAATACAGTTTCTGAATTTACATTTTTTTGGGGCCTAACCCTCAGCATAGAATTTTTGGGAGCCTAGCCACATACAGGAGCCTGAAATCCAATGTATTTTGCAGATCTCAAAGTACTCACCATGCCGCTTTTTAAATTCCTTGGGATGCCTATTTTCCAAAAAGGGCTCATTTGGGGGGGGGGGGGGGGGTGTTGTGCTATCCTGGCATTTAAGGGCCTCCGAAACCATGATAGGTAGTGAGGAAGAGAACTGAGGAAGTTACACACCTTCAGGCTTTCAAAGTGGCCATTGGATTTCAGGCTCCTGTATCTGGCTAGGCTCCCAAAAATTCTCCTACATGTGGTATCCCCATACTCGGTAGAAGTTGCAGAATGAATTTGGGATGTAATTCCACATATACCCATGACTTGTGTGAGAAATATATCATTTAAATGACAACTTTGTGTGAAAAGAAAATTTTTTTTTTGTCATTTTCCAGAAACTTGTGGTAAAAAAAATAAATCTTCCATGGACTCAATATGCCTCTCAGGAGATAACTTAAGGTGTCTACTTTCCGAAAAGGGGTTATTTGGGGGTGTTTGTACTATCCTGGTATTTTAGCACATCAAGACATTTGATGGGCAGTCAGAAAGTAAAAGCTGTGTAAATTCCATTATCTATACCATAGTTTGTAGATGCTATAACTTTCACACAAAGCAATCTATATACACTTATTGGGATTTTTTTTTACCAAAAACATGTAGCAGAATAAATTTTGGTCTAAATTTAGGATGAAATTTGAGTTTTTTGGATATTTTTTATGACAAAAATGAGAAAATATTTTTTTCAAAACTTTTTTTTGTTTATAGCTCCAGAAATAAAAATTACACAGGTAATCAAATACCACCAAAAGAAAGCTCTATTTATTTGTGTGAAAAAAGGACATAAATTTAATTTATGTAACGTATTGCATGACCGCGCAATTGTCAGTTAAACTAGTAAAGCACTGTATAACAAAGAAAAATTTCCTAAATTGCAGTATCTATACCATAGTTTGTAGACGCTATAACTTTCACACAAAGCAATCAATATAAACTAATTTGGATTTTTTACCAAAAACTTGTAGCAGAATAAAATCACACACACACACACACACACACACAAGGAAATAAGTATTTGATCCCCCCCTGCTGATTTTGAATGTTTGCCCACTCACAAAGAAATGATCAGTCTAAAAATCGAATGGTAGGTGAATTGTAACACTGAGAGACAGAATAGCAACAAAAAATTCAAAAGAAATGCATGTCTAACAAATGATGCACTGATTTGCATGTTCATGAGGGAAATAAGTATTTGATCCCCTATCATTCAGCAGGATTTCTGGCTACCAGGTGTCTTTCATACAGGTAACAAGCTGAGATTAGAAGCAGTCTCTTAAAGGGGAGTGCTGCTATTCTCATTTTGTTACCTGTAAAAAAGACACCTGTCCACAGGAGCAATCAAACAATCAGGTTCCAAACTCTCCACCATGGCAAAGACCAAAGAGCTGTGCAAGGATGTCAGGGTAAAGATTATAGACCTGTTCAAGGCTGGACTGGGCTACCAAACTATCGCCAAGCAGCTTGGTGAGAAAGTGACAACAGTTGGTGCAATCATTCGCAAATGGAAAAAAAACACAAAACAACTGTCAGTCTCCCTAGGTTTGGTGCACCATGCAAGATCTCACCTCATGAAGCGTCAATGATCATGAGAACAGTGAGGAATCATCCCAGAGCTACACGTGAGGATCTTGTCAATGATCTCCAGGCAGCTGGGACCACAGTCATCAAGAAAACAATTGGTAACACACTACGACGATGAGGATTGAAATCCTGCAGTGCCCGCAAGGTCCCTCTGCTCAAGAAAGCACATGTCAAGGCCCGTCTGAAGTTTGCCACTGAACATCTGAATGATGCATAAGAGGACTGGTTGAAAGTGTTGTGGTCAGATGAGACCAAAATAAAACTCCTTGGCATCAACTCAACTCGCTGTGTTTAAAGGAGGAGGAATGCTGCCTATGACCCCAAGAACACCATCTCAACTGTCAAACATGGTGGTGGAAACATTCTGCTTTGGGCTTGTTTTTCTGCTAAGGGGACAGGACAACTGCACCGCATCAAAGGGAAGATGGACGGGACAATGTACCATCAAATCTTGGGTGAGAACCTTCTTCCCTCAGTCAGGGCATTGAAAATGGGTCGTGGATGGGTGTTCCAGCATGACAATGACCCAAAACACATGGCCAAGGCAACAAAGGAGTGGCTTAAGAAGAAGCACATTAAGGTCCTGGAGTGGCCTAGCCAGTCTCCAGACTATAATTCCAATTGAAAATCTGTGGAGGGAGCTGAAAGTTCTAGTTGCCAAATGTCAGCCACCAAACCTTAATGACTTGGAGAGGATCTGCCTAGAGAAGTGGGCCAAAATCCCTCCTGAGATGTGTGCAAACCTGGTGGCCAACTACAGGAAACGTCTGACCTCTGTGATTGCCAACAAGGGATTTGCCACCAAGTACTAAGTCATGTTTTGTGAAGGGGATCAAATACTTATTTCCCTCATGAACATGCAAATCCGTGCATAAATTTGTTAGACATGCATTTCTTTTGAATGTTTTGTTGCTATTCCATCTCTCAGTGTTACAATACACCTACCATTCGATTGTTACACTGATCAGTTCTTTGTGAGTGGGCAAACATTCAAAATCAGCAGGGGATCAAATACTTCCTTCACTATATATATATATATATATATATACACACACATACACACACACACACACACACACATATATATATATACATACACACAATATATATTGCCAAAAGTATTGGGATGCCTGCCTTCACACGCACATGGACTTTAATGGAATCCCAGTCTTAGTCTGTAGGGTTCAATATTAAGTTGGCCCACCCTTTCCAGCTATAACAGCTTCAACTCTTCTGGGAAGGCTGTCCACAAGGTTTAGGAGTGTGTCTATGGGAATGTTTGCCCATTCTTCCAGAAGCACATTTGTGAGGTCATGCACTGATGTCGGACAAGAAGGCCTGGCTCGCAGTCTCCGTTCTAATTCATCCCAAAGGTGTTCTATTGGGTTGAGGTCAGTCAAGTTCCTCCACCCCAAACTCACTCATCCATGTCTTTATGGACCTTGATTTGTGCACTGGTGCGCAGTCATGTTGGAACAGGAAGGGGCCATCCACAAACTGTTCCCACAAAGTTGGAAGCATGAAATTGTCCAAAATGGTATGCTGACGCCTTAAGAGTTCCTTTCTCTGGAACTAAGGTGCCAAGCCCAACCCCTGAAAAACAACCCTACACCATAAACCCCCCTTCACCAAACTTTACACGTGGCACAATGCAGTAAGGCAAGTTACGTTCTCCTGGCAACCACCAAACCCAGACATGCCCATCAGATTGCCAGACAGAGAAGCGTGATCCATCACTCCAGAGAACACGTCTCCACTGCTCTAGAGTCCAGTGGCGGCAAGCTTTACACCACTGCATTCGACACTTTGCATTGCACTTGGTGATGTAAGGCTTGGATGCAGCTGCTCGGCCATGGAAACCCATTCCATGAAGCTCTCTACGCACTGCTGTTGTGCTAATCTGAAGGCCACACAAAGTTTGGAGGTCTTTAGCTATTGACTCTGGTAACGTCTGTGCACTGTGTGCTTCAACATGTGCTGATCCCGCTCTGTCATTTTAATTTGTAATGTAATTTGCATAATCTACAGATTAAATGCTACATATCAGATAGGTCTGTATATTTTCGCAAAAATATGTGATGATATCATCACTGACATATTGCATAACACTGAGCTGTTCACAATATCCCAGATATGTCAACTAAATGGAAAATAATTATTAGCCAACATGTCTAAATGTGCATAAAAAGTACCACAATTTTGAAAAGAGGAATTCAATAATATTACGGGGAAAAAGTAGCAGTAGAAAAAAAAAATGCATATTGAATCTATCCATTACATCATGAATGCCCACTGCATGCCCTGTATCAGGAGAGAGAACTGTCACATTTGAAATAAGGTAACTGCTTGTGTTTAGAAGAACACAGCCTAATGAAGCCAATGGTGACCGCTCTCCCCTGCATGACCACCACCAAATTTTAGTATTAGGGAACTAAATGCATGCTGACTTGTTGATAATAGATCTTTAAAAAAAAAAATCTACATACTATAACCACCAAAAGAATTCCATTGAATCTTGCAACAGATTTCATTTTTACAAATGTACAAAATTACCTTGTTTCCTAGGGTTCAGGTTTTGCAACATTAAACGTTATCATACAATGCTAAATACCTTTTGATAGACACGCACCCTTACATGAAAACAAGACTTTTTCAAGTTAGTAAAACAAAAAACTAGGATAATGCACACCCAAATGTAAACATTGGTACATAAAGAATTAATTGTATACATGTTGGTTCTAGAACCATAGATTGGGTTCCCTTAACTTGTGGACCAGTGAAGTACCAGTACATTACTGGACTTTTAAGTGGTTTTACCAGGATGATGCTTGTATAAATCAAAGTGGCAACCTGTAAAGGCTTTTAAAAGCATCGCCTATGGTCTGAATAATAAAATGTACTGTAGATAGTTTGTCTCGCCATTGCATGGGCCTGCACAATTTTAAAGGGTGACATGTTTGGTATCTATGCACTCACTGTAACATCATTTTTTATACTTTTCTGAACAATTGGTTATTATATTGTGTTTTTGTGCCTTAAAATTCATTAAAGTGTATTTTTTCCCAAAAATTTCAAAAAACACTTTGCAAATACCGATTTAAAAAAAAACAATTTCAACACCAAACTCATTCTTTAGGGCCTTGGCTTTAAAAAAAAACAATGTTTGGGGGTTCTAACTGATTTTCTAACAACAAATACTGATTTTGACATGTAAACAAAAAGTGTCAGAAAAGTCCAGGTCTTAAAATTGGTCAAAAAACACGATCTAGACAGAAGCAGGCTCACAGCTACAAACATCATTTACATCTTCATTAGAACAGAGAGGAGATCCAAGTGTAAAGTACAGCAATTAACACACATCAATAATACATGTGGATAGAGAACAGAAAGAACCTTTAGCTAGCATGAGGACACTTAAAATTAGGTAGAAGTGGCAATTATAACATTTGCAGAGTAAAGACCCCTTTCTCAAGTTAGCATCTTTGCCATTTGCTGTACTTTGTGCCTGCATTTCTTCCCTGCTCTTCCCTTGTCTGCTTCTGTCTAGATGGAGGAACTGAGGAACTTGTGTATATACTACAATCATCTCTTCCTGGTCGTGGGTGTCCACATGATAATTAAAGGTTCTTTCTGGTGTCTATCTACGTGTATTGATGTGCAATAATTACTGTACTTTTTTGCATGGATCTCCTCCCTCTAGAAAAAGGAACTGTGGGGAGATCTTGTGCATGAGCTACAATTTATTGTTATTTGTTTATATGATACTTTCTTTCATAAATACATGAAATTTGAAATGCTAGCTGTTTGGAATGTTGCCTATTGTTGATTTGGAAGACTTAAGCAAGTAAGGCTGTGTTGGGAAAGGACACAATAAGAGAAGCAATGCAAATATTACATTGACTTTTCAAACCTAAATATTCACTTACCTTGGTTTTTCTCAGCCTCATCCACCGAACCAATGTATTTGGTGCTTGTATCCTGAATATCCAAAGATGGATCCAGGGCATAGCCTAGGAAAGAAAACACTATGAGCTAGTGCTAGAGGTGTGGTGGTTCAATAAAAACCTAACAGCAGGAGTAACTGGCTGAATGCTTTCTTGCTTTTTATTGATGCTTTCCAGATTTCTTATTCGTCCCAGATTTCTCCATAAAGAGGACCTGTCATGCCTTCTTTCTATTGCAAGGGATGTTTACATTTCATGTGATAGGAATAAAAGTGTTAGAAAAAAAAAATTAAAGGGACAGTGCAAAAATTTAAAAAAAAATAAAGCAACCCCATTCTCACGCGCAGAAGTGAATGCATATGTAGGTCACACCCGTGTTTGCACCATACAGGTGAGATATCGCCGTATACGTAATAGTGAGAGCAATAATTCTAGTGCTAGACCTCCCTCTGTAACTATAATATTGTAACCTGCATGATAAGTACGGCAGTTTGTGGGGGTTTGTTTTGCAATTAAAGTGCATTAACACAAAAAAAAAAAAAAAAAAAAAGCAACCCACCAATTTACTCTCTAGCGCCTCTGCTTAAACACAAACACACACACTGCTCAGCATAAATAAGTACACCCCAACAGATTTGTCAGAAAATCTTTACTTTCCTTTCAGAATCAACATTTTCTTTGGGATACTATACTATAAAATACTCCCACAAATGTAGGCCATTGATTGCAAACAAGATTTGTTAATTTGTACACACACAAAAGTATTTTTCCTAACAAATTAATTTAAGACTATGTTGCAAAAATGAATACACCCCAATAAAGTCTTAGGAGCAAAAGCTAAATTTTAGACAACAAAATCCTAATTAATAAGAATGCAACCACAGGCGAGTCTAATTAGTCATTAAACAGATGTCCAGCAGACAGTTGATTATAAAAGGGCCTTACTTAACAAAGAAACCCCTTCCCATTTCATGCTGTCAGCAATGGCACCACATGAAAGAAATGTCACAAGGCCTGAGAACGAAAATAATTTCTTTACACAAGAAAGATGAAGGCTACAAGAAGATCACCAAAGCTTTACTTACTAGTCAGAATATTGTAACAAAAGTGGTACAAAAATGTAACAAAGATGGAACTGCAACCATCTCACAGAGACGTCCAGGCTGTCCATGGTAGTTAACACCTCGACAGGAGCGTCTCCCGATGAGAAGGGTTGAAGAAAATCTCCATGCAAGTGCACTGCAGTTAGCTAAAGAAGGGAAACAGTATCCCCAGTTTGGCTTTTTACATGACACAATACAGCATACACGGCAGGGGAATGGTATGCATGGGTGTCGTCCACCCATGCACAAAAAAGCCCACCTAGAATTTGCCAGGGCCCATGTTGAAAAAGAAGACGACTACTAGGACTCTGTACTCTGGAGTGGTGAGACCAAGATAAATGTTTTTTTGGAACTGATGGCTTCAAAACTGTATGGCATTGCAAAGTTGAGGAGTACAAAGAAAAATGGTGTCTACAGTGAAACATGGTGGTGGCAGTGTCCTTCTAAGGGGCTGCATGAGTGCTGCTGTCGGGGAGCTACATTTCATTGATGGTATCATGAATTCACAGATGTACTGCTCTATATTGAAAGAGAAGATGCTACCATCATTCTGTGCCCTTGATCGGCGTGCAATTTTCCAACATAACAATAATCCAAAATACATATCTAAGGCCACTATTGCATTTCTGAAGAAGAACAGGGTGAAACTGATTCAGCGGCCAAGTATGTTAACTGATATGAACCCAATCGAACACCTATGGGGAATTCTGAAAAGACAAGTTTAGCATCACTATCCATCTAGCATCCAGGCTCGAAAAGAGGTCGTTCTTGAAAAAATGGAAAAAGATAAATGTTACAGTATGTTGCCAACTTGTTCATTCCATGCCTAGAAGACTTGGTGCTATCCTTACAAATCATGGAGGTCATACAAAATACTAGATGTAGTAATTTTTGTTGCGGGGTGTACTCATTTTGGCACTACTAATTTGAGTAAAACTGAAGATTTTGTCATCTAAATTGTATTATTAATCTTACTTTCATGTAATGAGGTAATCAAATGTTCTATAAAACTCAGTTTTGTCAAAATATTGGAAATTGGTCTTGTGTTCATTGAGATATGAATTAAAATCTTACTTTTCAAAAGGGGTGTATTCATTTATGTTGAACACTGTATATATACATAATGATTGAGTGTTCTGAGAAATTTTCAGGCATAAAATATGATTTTTACATGTAGGAGAGAATTGTTAGAATTTGCTCTTTGAGCAAGTGGTTGAACACAAACAGCTCTGTGGGCCTTGGTCCACTGTTCGGCTTCTTATGGTTTGGGGAATGATGTACATGGTACATATAGAGAAATAGAAAAACAAATGATGTCATAGTATAGCTGGTCATACACCTTGGGCTCATTTGTATTTTATTTTTAAATTGGCCTGCACTGTGCCTCAAAGTTTTAAAAAACACATATGAGCCATTTCAAATAATATAGCAGAGCAAAGAACAGAGCATTTACATAGGTGCCTTGTGGTGTGCATTAGTGTGGATGTGTTTAAGTCTGCTGAAAAAAAACATTGTTTAACCACTTTCCCACCTCCCTATAGTAGAAATACTGCTACAGGGTGGCAGCGGTGTGCAAAATCACGTATATACACACACACATGTGGCTTTGCATATCTGGGTAGGGGGCACGCACGAACTGCCATTGGCGGCCTCAGCTGTCGATCACCGTGACCCGGCCAGTGATTCCCCGCCGGCACTCGGTGATCGCCGTACATCACCGACGGGGGAGAGACCTGTAAGTAAACAATATAGATCTCTCCCGTCAGCTCCTGCACATTGCTTTGTATTGCTCTGCATAGCGTGGCAGAGCAACACAAAGCAATGTGCTTACACAGTAAAGCACACAGTTAACCCTATGATCGCCCCGGACGGTAACCCCTTCCTGCCCAGTGTCAGTGCTTTTGACTAGCACTTATTACTGTATTAGTGTCACTGTAGATGTCAGTGGCAGTTAGCCAGTTCCCCCTCAGTGTCAGACTGCCTGTCGCAGTCCCACTATAAGTTGCTAATCGCCGCTATTACTATCTTATCTGCTCTGCAAATTTGCAGGATACTAGAGTTCATGCTATAGTTGGCTACAGTGCTTACTTTGCCTTTACAAATCGCCAGAATACCATGATCATTAGCAGGTATATCAGATAACATGAATAGCTACTGAAGCTGGCACCTTCAACAGCAATGAAAACTTAATCTCAGCATTTGTGCTACAAATTCGCTGGAATCAAAGTGAGGCAGACATTTCATTGACTGAAATTCAATGTTTGCTAACAACAAGAACGCCTAGAAGATAGATTCTGTTATAAATTGCTGCTAAAATTTAAATAGCTCTAAAAAAAAAAAGAAAAAAAAACTTTGGCAATGTTTAAAAGCTGGTTCACACCAGATGCAGTCCAGTGCATTTTTAATCTTTTTATCAGAAATGCATGCACAGTGCTTTCCATGTATTCCAACGGCCCAAGTTCACACCAATGCAATGCATTTCAGTGCAGTCAACAAAAAGTAGAACATGCTGCATTTATTCTTTATGGAATGCATCTGGAATGTGGCAAAATGCAACAAAATGCACTGGAACACACATGCCCTGAACTGAGATTTAAAAAAAAAAGAAAATGAACCAGGGCAGATCAAAAATGTTCATGCAGAAATGCATCCAGAATGCAGAAATTGTGGTGTGAACCGGCCATGTAAAAAGATATGGTAAAATATGCTAGCCACAGCTAAAAAACTGCAATGTATTTTAAAAGTTAATTGTTCTTGCAAAAGATGGTAGTTCTTTTTTTTTTTATGTATGCAAATACAAAAAGCAGTTTTGCAAACATAAGCCATTGTTTTTATAATTTTGCTTCCCTTGTGCTTTAGGGCACCTTCACACTGCCCTGGTGTGGTCTTGCAGTGCTTTGGGTTTTCATACGGGTTAGCCGCAGTGTCGTTGCAGTTTCAGAAAGTGCACCAAAGACGCATCATGCAGGGTTTTTTCTAGAACTGCCTCAAAACTGCAGTATTTCATAGAAATCCATAGGAAAGCACAGCTACGCCGCATGAAAACCACGGGTTAGCCGCATTTCATCAAACGCACAGTGGGGCAGTGCAAGGCTGCCCTTAAGGAGTGTCAAGTGTTGGTACAGTGTATGCATTCTTTAGATATGTCAGCCGGTCTGCACTGAACACAAGCTACCCGTTTGCTTCATCCACCTTTTTATAAGCTTAGCTACAATAGGTTCTGCCCATCTGCCATTCTTAGGGGATTCCAGACTTGTAATTGTGGGAAGCAGATTACAGATACTATACCACAGGGATCCTCGATGCCTTCCCTATTCTCAGTTCTATTCTAAGGTACGCCGCTGTTCACAATGCCGTAAAAAAATGCTGATGAGTTCCGGCTAGCTAAATAAGGAAAGCAATGTTTACACTGGCCTGGGTTCTGTGATGAACAAAACAGAGGTAAATGGTTATATTTGCAATGTTGCGTGGGATTCCCAGATATATAAAACATGCTATTCTGTTTTAAGGTGGTTGTAAACCCCTGACATGAAATATGAACAAACCATATCACTCTATAGTGTGTACATGTCCTAATCCAGAGCAGTGTCATTTCTGTCTGCTGGCTTGTTCCACTGCTATCAGCATGCATTACTTCTGACAAGTTTTCCTGACACCAAGAGGTAAAAAAGTGAGAGGGGAGGGAGATCCAGTACACAGCCTGTGATTGAAAGCCTCAGCTCTGTTCCTGTGTGATGTGTGGAGGGGGTGTGTGTCCCTTCCCTCCAGTCAGCAAACAGAGCTCTCCTCAGTGAGCTCTGCAGTGTGTAATTTCAGCTATGATGACATTAACAGATCAGGTCATGTGGCTTGTACAATGGTTTTGAGTACTCGTTTAGTATTAAGCACAATTTCGTATTTTATCTTGCATCCAGCTTCTCAAGAAAAACACTGGTGGCCCAATCCATTTAAAAACCAAAGCAGGGCAAGAAGCAGAGACAATAAAAAATATATTATTTTACAGCACTCAGCCCCATCAGTCAGTAAAAGGGATCAAATTAAAAGCTATTTCTATCATTTAAATGAAAGAGGTCTAACAACAGAAGGAAAAACATTTTTTTAGTAAAAATAAACATAAAATAACCAGTTCCAGGTTCTATTTTTAGGCTCCATTCACAATAGTGCAATTTCAGATGTGACTTGAGTCGCAAAGAATCTCATGACAAGGGAATTCACAGTTTTCAATGGTGCTTGTTTACATCAATGCAACTCAGCACAGCATGATTTTGGAAAAAGGTTCCTATACTACTATGGTGCAATTCCAGTGCGATTTTGGCCCCATAGAATATGCAAACCACATTCAAGTTGCACCGAAAATAAGATCCAAATCAGATTGCAGCAGTGTGAACATGTGCAGTTCAGTATTGCAAACCTTGGTAGCAATTATGTAATAAGATACTATTTATTTTTCGTTTTTTTCACGTGCAAGCAATGTTACACAGGTAAGAAAAGCTACATACAGTGCCTTCGCAAAACATTTGAGCATAATAAGATTTGAAGTATTTGTAGTCTATGCACATTCAAATGTTACCATTTCACAAAGGGCTTGGGATTTAGCACCCCCTAATGGGCAAAGAAAAAAGCCATGAGACACAAACATCTAATAAACGTTGATTGGATTGAAGATGCACTTCAGAGTGTAGTTTTTCCTGTCCTCTGATTTATTTTTTTTTTTTTTTTTTTTCCTAAATTTTCTACTACATCTATTACACAAGAAACTGATGAGTGGAATTAATTAAAATAAAACATTACAAGCTGACTAAACTGCCCATGACAAAAGAAAAAAAAAAAAATCACAGCGTATGCTTTATTTCTAATGAAAAACATTGTTGGATTTAATACTAAAGCTAAGAAAGCCAATTGCAAAGACTATGGTTCAGATGTAAGCAAGGGTCTTTATAATACAATACAGAGAAACTTGTTTCCATTGTATTTGAATATGTATGGTACATCTACTGCTTAGCACTACAAGTTAACACAACAGTCTGAAAGCTCCAGGAAAAAAAAAAAAAAAAAACAAAACACAAAAATGATGTAGAGGGAATGCTCAGCACACGTCTATACTATGAACACTTATGTTAATTTTTATTAACCATTTGAAAAACTTGGGTGCACTAAAAACCTTAATCTAAGTATCTCCTACTACAGGGCTTTCTCTACTCACTGGCTTGGAGTCCTAATTGCATTCTGAAAGCCTACAAAACAAATTGTTGACCCAGAAGGTAGGTATTTCTTACTGCAGGATCCCTCCAAGACACCATCCTCACTTACTATGCCTTGAAAGTCCACAAACCCCTTTCCTTAGTCACATCTGCTGTTTGTACCAAATGCAACATACAAGAACTCTCCTCTGTAGTGAATCCAACCTGATCCTGAGTCTGAAAATGGATATTCTAAATACGCATAAGGCAGTCAACACCGTTCCTCAGGCTGAAACAGAGCATTTAACCATAATCTACTTCACAACAACCAACTCTCCAAAAATTACACTTACTAATTTCAATTCCATTAATCTCATTCCTGCATTGAGCAGATCTCATTCTTACATGTTCTCCTCCACTGGCCATACTCACAGTTACATGGTCATGGAGGCCTACAAAGCTGTCATCAGAAGTCATAAAATACAACATGCTACCTGATCAGAAAAAACAAACAAATAAACCAAAACACAACATCATATGAAAAAGTATACAAAGTTCAGAACTGGACAAGGCCTTGACAAGCTTTAAGGTCAACCCAACACATACGAATTATAAAACAGTGGAAACCATTAGAACAGATTTAAATCTTTGCATAACAGATCAAGTCGAATGCTCCCCAAGAAACAAAAGTTTTAAGCAAATGGCAAAAAAGGTGGCTATGCTAGCCAAAAAACTGAAGACATTCTCCACCAGATTTACCTCTATAACATTAGGCTCTGTTCACATCTGGTGGGCAGAATGAAGCTCTGCGAGTCTGCCTGCAATTCCAAATCATACTGCAATCATAGCAAAACGTGGCCTGTGTTTGTGTGCTATTCATTTTTAGTGGCACCTCAAAGGCGGTGCAGTCTTGCCACGATTGTCGGCCGGTAATCGTGCAATCCAGTTTGCGGTGCTTTCCCCATGACAATTGCGGAAAAACTGCACCGCGCTTGAAGTGCCATTAAAATGGTTTTTTTTTTTCACTGGCTTTGTTGTTTTATAAAATGAATAAAGGAATGATTTAAGTGGAGTCACCAATCCTTTTTTCGGCTACAATTTTGTCCAACACTGCATTAGCTTCAGAAAACTGAACTGTGACAAGCAGTGTATATACCATTCTCACTTCATGACTTTAAAGTGAAAACTTTCCTTTGCCAATGCCATGGAAATCAAAAAGCTCATTAAATACCACCCCCACAGCAGCATATACTCACCTTTTCTCTCTTGCATGTTGGTCCAGTCTGCTGCCAAAACTGGGAGAAGAATCCAAACAGACTTCCCAGAGTGTACACAGGACTTTCGACTGTTTTCCTGGTCCCAAGTGACAGCACTGGGTTAATTACAGGGCTCGTGGTGTTGTTACAATGAAGTGGAGTGAGTCACTTGCTCCAGAACAAAAGAAAACAAGTATATGAGGACAGGGATAGGGGAATCTTGCAGCTTTCTTCCTTTCACTGGCATGGACACACTGCCAATCAACTGTCAAATGCTAGAATTTCAGGAGTCAGTAGAGGCACTGGCATATAACAGTTGCATGACAGCTACTGTGGTTTAGCATCAGGAACAGGTGGGCAAAAGCATTGGTCTCACATACAGTCTATGCATAGGATGCAAGTAGCTCCATATCAGGATTACAATACAGAATTAGCCATTTTTCCTGGAGCAGGCTCATCAGGGATCCATTATTCTAGTCATATTACATATTTGAAACATCTATGTTACATCTCTAAATGTTGTAATCCTAATTGTTGGCTACAGCATGCTACATTGTTAAAATAAAACATGTAGGTCTTGTGGGCGGCAATACACAAATTTAACTATTATCATGTGCAATTAGTTTTAGCAGCCTAAATTAGTGGCATTTTACCATATTCCTTGCACATACTAACTTAACCCACCCCCTGGAATTAAAAAAAAAAAAAAAAGAAGATAGAATGTGCAAACTATGAGGTTTGTTATGATTAAATGAAACAACAAAATGTTACAATCTTTTTATACCTCTCAAAAATGTTAGCCTCTCAGGTTTATTTTCCAAAGTTCACAACTGCATATTTCATTTTTGTTGCTAAAATTGAGAAGGTAATTTTATATTTTCACATTTTTGCTTACCATATGTTGCAAACGTTCTTCTTTGCTGTTCGAACATAAAGTCATTAATGTGTGCTGGTTCTGCGTATCCTGAAAGCATGTTCCTTGGAGCAGCCATCTGCTGGGTTTTAAATGGATTGTTGGGTCCAAACTGCAATTATATAACAGAAGAGATACAGTAATTCAAATACTTTTCACCATAAAATGTATCTCAATTGTGCATGCTGTAGCCTATGATGTATCAAAGGAATAAAGGGATATGAGCACATTTTTTTGCCCCTTCAATTTCCTCTCAAAGTGCGCCTGTGCCCAGACAATCGACATTAAATGATTTACATATTATTACCAGTAAGACAGTAAGCAGTAAAACCTTGTTTACATGTGCGGTAGTTCATGGTCTCTCTGAAGTGGTGGGTTGCTTTTCAGGGGCACCTGACAGACATCTCAGAAGCAGTATGCAGATTTCTGAATGCCCGTTTTTGAAACAAGCAGCATACTGGCACAATCACATACATTACACGTGGTTGCAGTGTGGTACCATTCACATGGCATGTGACATTTCCCTTTAGTCCTCCTGAAAATGTTTTTTTTTCTAGGAATCTCTCAGGACAGCAACCTGAGAGATAATTGGTTTTCCCCTCAACCCAAAACAGTGAAAACCCCTTCCCACCGTCCTTGTACCGCAGTCGAGATGAAAATAGACTACCTCCTCCAGTGCACGAGAAATAAAAATAAAATTATAAAAACGCCAAGTGAAAGGGTTAGAAGTAGGCTTGTAGTCCTGAATGATTCCTAGAAAGACCATTATTGGTAAGAATAATGGGGAAATAATCTTCCAGGACAGAAACCTGATCACAGTCTATAGAACTTAGCTGCAGAATGCAGATCACAGGTGCAATGCCAGGCTCCTGCAGACATTTCCTCCAGCATTCATCCTGTACCTATGTACAGGCATTCAGTTAGAAAGCTGGAGGAAATATTAATGGACTACAAGTGTACTGATTAACACACTCATACACCATTGAGAAATACAAATCCATCTGTCAGGGTGGTGGACGGGGCTTGTTGGTTATTCTTTTTCCTAAATGTGAACATAGCCTTTCAGCAGAAAAAAGCCTAGCAGAGGCCCCAGCAAGACAGATTTTTTTTAGTAGAACAGGAAAGAGAACCAAACAAGAAAGTCAACACAAGAATTCGCCTCTCAAAGGGGCTGGCAAAGAATACGGCAACTCTGTAGGTGAAGACAGAGAGGATCAAAGGCAAAACAATGAAGATCCAACAAGTCTGATAAAATCAGGTAATGATCTCACAAATCCACAACTGGATGAACCAGTGGAACTACGTTAACACTCAGTACAAAGGCTTACTTAAGAATTAGAAGTATGCAGGGGGGCAGCCCACTGCTGAGAACTAGCCCCCAAGAGGAACTAAAGTTGATCCAGGTTGAAACTGGCAGAAACAAAAAAAAAAAAAAAAACACAGGTTTGACTCACAAAGAAGTACCTAGGATGACTTCTCTTGCCTCACACCATGCGAAATACACTTCCCAGACGTGATGATAAATAATGCCCAGACCCAATTGGGAGGAAAGCCACAATGAATCCCATGGAGAATATCTTGGGGTGGAATTTCCTTGAGAATTTCTCATGAGAACCAAGTGAGAAGGTAAACCTTGGGAGAGGAATATTTCCTAGTTTAGAGAAATTTAGGAAAACAGAAACTGATTGGGCCCTAAAGAAAGAACCAGGGCTTTAACAGTATGCTGTTACAGCCAGCCAAAGAGAAGCAGAAATGAGAGCCATACACACTGGAAAAGAAAAAACTTGTAAGGCCAACCTTGGCCCTTGAAGATACTGAGAACCAGATGTTGACCTTGTCCGATTGGAAAAAGACAGGATTCGTCCCACAGGGAACTTCTTGGGCTTGGATTTCCTTGCATCGCACCCTGAGAAATATGCTTATTAATAGTGATATGTGAAAAGTCAGTTACTTAGACTACTCAGTGAGGCAGAGAAAGCCCCCCCCAAAAAAAAAAACCCCCCCCAAAAAAACAGACAATGGGGAATGGCCCACAGAGAATCTGCCAAGAGCCTGATGAGGTCCAGGTACTAATTTGCCTGAGCTTTTCAGTGCAGAGAAAAAAAAACACTAAAATACACCTCATCTCAATCCCATGATGCAGGCGAGGAAGGAGTATCAAATTGGAAAGGTGTAGACCATATCATCCCCTGTAATAGCTAGAGGGGTCCTTGGACCTGGAGACAAACTTAGCTGGTTTGTTGAACCTGGAACCCAGAAGCTTAAAGTCCAATGTTGCTTACCTGAGACAGAAGTCTAGAACACCTGCAGGTAAAGAGACCATACTCCCAGCTCTAGATACTTTAAAGTGAATAAACCCGTCTGTCAAATTCCCAAAGCCCATAATAAGTACAGCAGCCAGGACTGAAACATTTAATTTTGTTCAAGGCAGAATTTGACTATCTACACTTGCAAGACTCCTGGTTCCTCACTGATGGTTGACATAAGCCACTAATATTAATAGGTTACCTATATTACTTATATTATGGATGCACTTACTTTATTTTTCTTAGCTTGCACTGGTATAGGGTGATTGTGCTGGGGTATTTTCTATAATTGTGTGATACAAGCCACAGCCATGACATAGCCCAAGAAAAACCAGGTTGGTTGACCAGCAATCCAAAGATCAAGCACCAAAGGGATTACCCAGTCATTCTATGATCTACAATGTTCAATAGGGAAATTAACTTCCAGGGTTGACAAAGTTTCTTTCAGTACAGAGGGGGTCTTGGACTCCTCTCTAATCAGACAAGCTGCCATCCATTGGAAGAATCTACCAAACAGGTGGAAGGAAGGATTTTCTTTCGGACTTCCAAGCTGGATTCCGGAGACATCTGGCCAAAGACAACCTGTTCCTGCATATCAAGCCCAGGGGGTTGAGCCCTTTGCCCAAATGCAGAGTTGCAGCAGTTCAGAATGGAACTGGGGCATACTAAACTGCCTCAAGGGAGGCTACGATAAAACCTGTACCTCTCAAGCAAAAAAAAAAGAAGAAGGTTGGACAGTCCCTGGTCTGCAAGTCCCACATGGGAGCAAAGAGTCAGGAGCTATATTGCAGAAGAACTATGGTCAGAGCCACAAGAGACCCAAATACTTCAAGTGAGGAAAAGTTCAAAACAGTAATTCCTGCAGGTTCAGGATGCAAACTTGTAAATAGTCATTTTGTTGCACTTGACCTGAAAAACCTTATACTCTCTTGACAGGAGATCATCTGGAGTATCCGACTATGGGAATGCCCTGTGGGCGTAGCTAGATTAGCACCACTGAAAATATTTCAGATGAAAAGAACAAACCAAAAGGAAGGGCAAGAAAAAGGCAGTGTACACAGCAAGGCAGAACATGCGTGTAGCTATCTCTGAACTGAGCAGTTAGTAACAAAAGCCAAATGTAACTCCCAGGGAGGAAAAGTTCCCAGGGGCACAAAGCACTCCCTACCCACCAATAAAGTCATACTGCAACCCAGGGAAGGATTCACCATTGCAGTACCTGACTTAAATGCGGTGGTCAGCAATGTTTGCCTCCATTTCGAGTGTTACCTGTACCAGTAGTGTATTTTGGTTTTGTGTTGCCCTAAACAAGGCTAAATCGTGCACCTCCCCATCTAAATGTGTCCTTCCCTTTGCGGTTTAAGATCCACCTCTTCAGGACAGGAGCATGATGGAGGGTAGTGTGAGATGGGGGGGGGGGGGGGTGTCGTGGGACAGCGTGACGGGGGATATCAGGACAGGAGTAGGCCATCGGGACAGGTAGGCCATCGGGGACAGGAGCGGTGGATCATGGGGGGCACAGGGGGAGCGGTGACAGGTGGGGGGGCAGCGGGAGCGCAGTGAGACAGGAGGAGGAGCGCGGGAGTGAGAGACAGGTGAGCGCAGTGGACAGGTGGGGGGCAGCAGGACAGGAGCGCAGTGACAGGTGGGGCAGGTGGGGGACAGGTGAGGGGCAGGGGCGCAGTGGGAGGAGGAAGGCAGCGGGAAGGGAGGGGAGAAGTGGGATAAGGCTGGGGACAAGGTGAGGAGCGGGGGACAGAGGAGCGCAGTGGGACAGGTGAGGAGCGCAGCGGGACAGGTGAGGAGCGCAGCGGGACAGGTGAGGAGCGCAGCGGGACAGGTGAGGAGCGCAGACAGGTGAGGAGCGCAGCGGGACAGGTGAGGAGCAGCGAGACAGGTGAGGGGCAGTGGAACAAGAGTAGCGCAGAGGGAAAATTGGGGGGCAGCGTGACGGGGGGGCATGGGACAGAATCGAGGCAGCAGGACAGGAGGAGCGCAGAGGGACAGGATCTAGGCTACGGGACAGGTGAGGAGGCAATGGGGGGTAGTGGGACAGGGGGGGACAGGAAAGGGGGGGGAGTGAAACAGGTGTGTGGGCAGTGTGTCAGGGGGGAAGTAGAAACAGTGAGTGTGTCGGGGGGGACAGTGAGACAGGAGTGGGGAAGCACCAGTCCTCCAAGCTCTTACCTGTCCAACAGCGCTCCTCCAGATGGTGTCAGCATCACTCAAGGAGGGGAGCCTGTGTCCCATCTCCCCAGGATCTCTGGCGGTGGCTGCAAAAGAGCGGGGGGCTCCTCCACCCTGACCTCGTCCTCTTCTCCTTCCTCCTCCACTGGCACCTTCTGGCCATCCTGCACATCCCGGCGCACACCGATTGCGGGCCCCGACCCTCACACTCAGAGCGCACATGGGCGATCCAACCACCACTCAACTCTCCTCTGCAGCCGGTCCCTTGGCCCGGGTGACCCTCCTTGTGTGTCGGCTTGGCTGTATCCTTACCCATAGCGGCCCTGCCGCTGACACACAAAGTGTCCCTTCTGCCTGGGAGGGGCATGCCGCCCCCCCCCTGTAAACTGCCGCCCTAGGCAAATGCCCTGTTTGCCTAGCGGCAGATACGCCCCTGCCTGTGACCATCATACTGTCCTTGTCTCTGTGTCCAGTCCTGGCATGACCAGAAAAGAATCTTCCTGAATTGAAAGATATGACATCACTATATCCGAAACGGGGACGCATACCACTAGAATACAGGCCTCAGGATTCCACACAGTCCCAGGAACACACCATAGGCCTCTCTCAAAACTCCCCA